AGGGGTACAAATTCAATGGCTTCCAGAAAGGACATTTCACTGGAGTATTTTTCCTCCTTTTGACACACTTGCTAATATGCTCAACCAAACAGGGAGGACCTAAGGTTTCAATCCCTGTTGTATTCTATTTATTTGGTTTACATATAAAAGAACAGTAAATAATACTGTAACATGAATTCTGCTGTGAGAAAGGCAACCCTACCAAAAGCATGAAAATGTTACTAAATGGACAGGATGCCTAACCCAGGGTCCTGCCAGCTCTGTATCGGAGAGGAGAGATCATCCTGTGTGGTGGTCAGTATAAGAGAACATGCCATAAAACGGCAAAAACATAGCAATTACTGAAAATGTCTTCTAGATAAGCAAGACATTTGGCAAATTTTTAGTGTATTGTATTTTCTCCTGGAAAAATATGAAAATTTAATTTATGCTTGCTCGCATTATAATGATTGTCTTAAAGCCAAACTTTTCATTGAGGCATAGAATTGGTTTATTTTAACTGTGGACAACGGGAAAGAAAACTGACAGAAATTATGAGAGTAAGCCTGTGGCTCTTTTGCCTTTTTGTTCAGGTGAGTAAGACTCTTCAATGAATAAGCTATAATTGGTGAGAACATACCAGCCTTGATCAAACACAGGGTACAAGAATTCTGCTCTAAAACATGGTTTGGCCAATAATTCAGAGTCAATAACCATCCTCAGAAACCCAACTTTGAGATCTAAATGGAGAAGAGAGGAATGTAAGAGGCAGGGCAAACCCTGTATGCCCTGATAAGATATATATGCAGTATGCTATATATCTTAGTTTGTTTATAGCAACATACAGGAGACTACATAAACAAGTAAATAAACCTGAAAGTTATGTTGGTACATAACAACATTCTAAAAGTGTGAGTCCAATTCTTCATCTGTACTAAAAACATCAATACTTTTTTTTTTCTTTTATTTAAGCCACTGTCTTGCCACATAACAACTACAATTAAAGTCTGTGGCACAAATGGTAGAATACTGTGTCTGGTACATCGTTCTATCATTCTATTAGTACAGGAATTTGACTGGCTAGTAAAAAAATCCCTGATGCCTCCTTTTACATTTACAGTGCTTCTGTTCTGAAAAGGGTAGCAGCTGAAATAACACACGGCTCCTTTATCACAGTCTACAAGTTGTATTTCTGACATTTGAAATTGATGCCAGAGCTTTTTTACTCATGAAGGCACTGAAGAGTCACCATCTAACTCTATGTTGTCTCCAAAAAACTCCATGAACCTCTTCTGAATAAACCACTGCATTTCATAGACAAAGCTCTTGAAGAAATGCTCAAGGGCCAACTTTATCCCATCTCTCACTTCAGTTTCTGTATTTCCACATACATGTTAAAAAACAAAAAAAGTTTACTTCCATAAACTAATCTTCCAGTGCACAATACTCTTGACTTCCTAGAGACTCAAATAACTCTATTTCACAGTTCTTTCAGGTTCTTCCAAAAGATTACTTTTTCCAAGAAAAACACACTTCCTTTACTCATTTCTTTTAGGGAGAGATCACTGAATAAGCCTCTAAGGAAATGCCTGTAACTCTGTCAGATTTCACATGTGGCTTTTCTCTGTGTACTCTATCTACAACATCACACTCATACAGGTCTTCTATTTTGTCAATACGGTGTATGCTTTTTTGGGGGATGGGGAAGGACAGAAATTCTGCTAGCACATCTTCTGTAGTGCTGTGACAGATAACAGAGACTGCATAGGGTGTTCAGTTTTAACTCACCCCTACATTGTTCTGCTCTGCTCTTTGAATTGTGTGGGCTTTGTGTTGCAACTTAAGAAAGCAGAGGACCTCCTTGCTTTGTTAGCATCAAACCTCCTGGATTTTGTCCTGGAATTGTTATACACCCTAGCATTTTGAAGATTATTTTTCCAACTGACTTCTCATTATTATAAATAGCATAATATGGAAGATATTTAAGAAAACCAGGGCTGAAGTCTCCAGGGAAGAAATCTGTAGACTACTTTCTTTGACTCCGAATTTCTTTGCAAACTACTTAGTGCATGTTCAACACATTCTGAACAGACATGAATATTTTCTAGGGTAGATTTAAAACAATTACAGAGGGAAAAATACCTATAAATAGACACAGAAAACTACTGCTGTTGCACTAAAATGTAAATAAAGTTACTGCAGGGGCCTTATCCATGAGGAGATAAATTACCCTAAGCCCTACAGGAACAAAAGCTGTAAGATTGTAAAGTTATATTGCAATAAGCCACCTATGCAGAAAAGTGAGTAGAGAAATCTAAATGTAAAGCATAAACTAAAACATCACAGTCCTCATACACATGGAAATTTGGGACCACTAGGCAGGGAGATGAGATACATATAACCCTAAAGAATCATCTATGCCTGGAACATAACAATGGGTTAAAAATAACAGGCTTACTGGGTTGGAAAATTACAGGTGTTCATAACAGTTACAGTACTTTATTTCCTACACAATTTTATGGAACCAGACAGCTAAAAAAGAAAAAAATTCTGAAAGTTCAGAATACCACCTTTTCATTTTCTATTAATGTGCTAGCTTCACTGGAAATAAACATGTTCCCCTTTCGCAGGATCTTCCTGTTAGTAACAGTTGCACATAAATAAAGTTTTCTAAACAAACATCTTATCTTTTTATGGAAGGAAGTCCATTAATAAGGAATTGACGTCCTTCCTTGAAAAAAAAGATCAGTGCTAATTCTTTCCCATAAACTAAAGAAATAAACTTACACCCTGAGATTTTTTACTCTATTTTCACAGCAAACTGGCTTGTCTGCACACAGATAAAATGGAACTATTTGGGTTTTCTTATAAACAATATCTCTGTTGCTACTTTGCCCCATAATACTGAATAATTAATTTCTTCCCTCAGTTTTTGATTGCTTCACGGAACTTGTGCTTTGTTTCAATTCTACTCCATTCCTGTTAAAAGTACATGGCAGCCTTTTAGCAACACTCAGCCTAGGAGCTTCAGAAACACACCGTAACTTTCTAACATTTTGACCTAAGCCATCACTTCCAGAAATATGTCCTTTACTGAACAAATGCAGCCAAATGTACTCTAGCAGCTTTACTGTGGTCTCCACTGACTTTGTCAGTTACACAGAACATTTCCTTTACTCAAAATGAACTTTGTTATGGAAAATTCTCTGACACAGCCTTCATCTGCTTCCTTTCTTCAACATAACTTTTCTTTCAGACTAAGAGAATTCAAAGTTGATACTGTACTGTATATTACTAGCAAAAAAGAAAATACAGACTTTTCTACCAATGGCTTCAGAAAACCAGCATTTTAACCTATTTGCAACAATGCTGAAAATAGAAATATTAGTATGTTTAGGGAAAGTTTAGATTCGCAGTGTTATTGTACATCAAAATTTAGAATCTCAATGCCATACTGCAGGGAGATTAGCCAAAGAGAATGGCAGAATAATGTAGTCTGTGGTTATCATACTTGTATAAACTTATAATAAGTTATATTTATATATTATATATATATATTTTATTTTATATATTTTTATTTTTATTTTATTTATATTTTATTTTATATATTTTATTTTATATATTTATATATATGTTATAACTTATAAAGTGATAATGTCATAGTATTTTGGTATGAAAAGATCTACCTTAAATATTTTGTATGAAAAGATTTACCTTAAACACATTAACTCTGGGGGACTCAAGAAACCTCATAAAAGTATTTACATAGAAATTTCAAAAGGAAATTTTAAGGAAAAAAGTGCACAAGTGTTGCTAGAAAAATGCTGTTATTTCTCTTCAGCTGTCTCTATAAATGAGTGCTATTTCAAAGGCATCTATTCCAATTCTGAAAGATGAAATGCGACTACGTTCCAGCAATCACACTTAGATAACCTAAGAATGGGAAAATAAAAATCTGTAGTCCTTTATCAAGAGTGTGCATTAACTTTTCTTACAGAATGCTTCACTTGAGAAGGCATTTAACATATGTGTTTATGCAGATAAATAAGAGTGTGACAGGGACAAAGCAACAGGCTCCTTTTCCTCTGTTGTGAACTCAAAGACTCCTTTCTGACTCCATTTTGCACTAGGACAGTTTGCTTTCCAAAGGTCAGTCTGCTGCAGAGGTGACAAGCCCACAGCTGGTAAGAGTCAGTCCACATTACACAGCTTTGGTGATATTGGCTCTTTGCACTCTTCTTTGGCATCCATATGTAACTTTATATGCTGATTTCTAGAGTTTACATTTAGAACATAAAATGGTCTATATTAGTTGCTGGTGGAACCAGAAGACTTCATGTACTTGTGCAGGTTCAGTAACACACATCTGAGTGTCACTAAAAAAGCAAGAACAATTTCCTCTTCCTTTAGCTCTATTCTTTTCAAAGGCTTGGGTCCTCGGAAAGGTTTCCCCCCCATTTCTGTTTAATTTTCAATAATGTGCTGCGGAACAGTGATCTTTCATAAAAGCAAAACCAGAGCACTGCTTTAAAAGGTCACATGGCACAACTCAGAAAACAGAGCAGATATTCTGGTATCCCATGGCAGCACTGGAAACAGGGAAACAGGCAATAGCCTAGTAAGTATTTGGACAAAATGGAACACTGAAGGTTTCTGTCTCTTGTTAGAACTTCCACCTGTTCTCCAGGACTTCCCCAGTCAGTAAGGATACCCTATACAATTTCCAGCTTTTCTGCCTTACTTTTTCTTTACCCTCCTTCTCTTAGCATATTGCTTCACAAAACGCTTCTGATTTAGAATGATTCATAACATGGCAGAAAGCTCAGGGCAGTCTCGACAGAGCTCAGTAAATGTGTACAAAAAACTAAGACTTTTGATAATATTATCTTGTAAGATGATGTTTTGGTTAGCTGTAGCTAACAGCTAAATAAAATACCTGTGAATGGCTTTAGGACTGCTGAATGAATGGACGGTACCTAGCACACCAAACAAAGGAGCCCACTCAGTGGTGTCACTGTTACCTGTGCTGCTGTTCTCTCTTGTCCCCTCACCTCTGCGTTCGGCAATACTGGTGTTGCCACTGGTGGAGGAGGTGCTCTGCGCTTTTTCACTTCTGGGTTTGCTGTCATTCCAGAGATGTTACCAAGGGACAGTGACGAACCCAGGCTACTTGAACGAGAATTCACCGAAGGGGAATTTGGTGCTGTGGAAAAACCCTGTAAATGAATGAACATCTTGGATTAACATCACTCTTTAAAAACAATGGGAAAGAAAGAAGAAAAACAAGACACATCTGGTTACCGTTTAAACAATGATATGAATAATCATGTATATTCCTCTGCCAAACCTGCTGAATTGCAAACTCTAACTTTTGGAAACTTCCAAAGGTCAACTGGAACAAAGCTTGCAGGCAGTATTAATAAGACAGGAGGCATGATAAGCACCTACTGCGTATTGATGGGAACACTGCTGTTGCTTGCTATTTAAAATATAAAGTTCACATCAAGACATATAATTACAGTTATCCAAATGCATTTGTGGTTGCATTTAAATTACAAGTGTTACACATTTCTGGAAGCAAGATTTACTCTTAAATGAGAACACCGTATTAATACAATGCTGCCAAGTGTCTCGGGGTTTTCTATTTTGTTATCAATCTGCCTGATTTACCTGAGTCTTCTCCACAGATTTACATAAGAGAAATTCTGCTACCATTAAACTATTTCCAATTTACATGCAGAATCACGCATAATCACTTACAACTTACTGCAAACAACCATTTAACTTGGTGAAAAGAAGTCCTACTGACAGGCACCACTCTGGATTCTAATTGGCTCAGATTAAAGGAAAAACAGAAGACTAATTCAGTAATTCCTTACTGTTAAAAATTACTTTAGTTCTCATTGAAAACTTAATAAAATCAATGGAAAAAGTTTAATGGATTTCAGAATCTTAATACACTTTTATATTAATATACAAACAGAAACATATGCAGTCACATAGTAGCAAATCTACAAATAAAAAAGATTAGAACTAGGATTGCTTGAAAATGGGCTTTTTAATTTTAGGTTTTACTCTTAAATTCAATTCTTCTTCCTTTACTCTGCTAATAAAAATCTTGCAAAAACTTTTCCCTCTAAATCTGAGTCACTTTCTCCTTTTTTTTAATTAAGAGAACCTTCCATATTAAATTGAAGATTTTACTTCTTAATTAAATTATTTGACTGTAACTTCTTCCCAAAAATATCTTCTGTGGAATCAGCACCGATACCACTTCACCATGACCTTGAGCTGAATAGCTCTTCTGGAAATACAGGCTGATGAGCATGGTTGATAATGCTGTTCTTATCATAACAGAACAAGCTACAATTGCAAAACTCTCCCATCGAGGACATAAAGCTCTCTGGTGGAATTTTATCCAAAACCGCAGAATACATACTGGCAGGAAACTTAAAGGCCACCCCAAATGCCATTAGTTTAAAAAAAAAAAAAAAAAAGATCATTTATTTCCACAAGTACCAAATGCAAGCTTAGGTAAAAACTAAAAAAACAGGGCAGCAACCTTAAAACCACAATGAATTTAGTTTTAGAACCATTGAGGAAGCACCGATAAAGCATAAAGAGCTAAAAAGTAGAGCAATGCAAAAATATATATAACATACAGTAAGACTCCTTTACTGCCTGGTAAAGTTCCATGTTCTGTAGATTCCTTTTTACCTTGTCCTGCATTTACTGTGCATGTGATACCAATTACTGACCAAGATGATTTTGTAAATTTTATGTTGCACACTGCACAGCACACTTCATCTTGGAATAATGTATTTAGCACAAGTGGAGTATGATACCAGTCTTCTCTGACTGAAAGCAGTGTTTGCCACATCTTTTTCATCACCAGTTCTTCTCAATTGAATGGCATCAATAGAATCTTTACCCTTCTAGGAAATTAAGAAGAAAGCTTGAAGTAGATGGTGTTGTTCAAAAGATTAGGTATAATCTTACAGAGAAATAGTCTTGTCTTGGCCCTGTATATTGGGCAGAGGAAAAAGTAATGATCTCATCTGTAAGTTTAAAGTCATTATCAGTGCATACTGTATCAGGTCCTATCAAATAGTTTTTTTACTCCTACAGAAATAATGGGTTCACAGAGTGAAATACAAAGTAGTATCCTCTTTTCACACATTTCTAAAACAACTGAACAAAACAATTTCAAAGTGGATTCTGCAGGTATGTTTTTAATGCTATTAATTCTTTAGGCTTCTAGATAAAAGGGTGCAGAAATTTTAGACAAAGATGTATGAAAATAATAAAAAAGCCCTAAGACCTCCCTCCTAACACTACAAATACAGAGTACTGGTAAGACAATAGGCCATAACCATTGATCTTGAATGTTCAATTTTATCTCAAGGCTTGAGATAAATTTTATCTTGAGGCTGGAGGGCTATGAGAATCCTTTTCCAAGCTACAGGTCATTGGGAAGGAATACAGTGATAAACAACTAAACAGTTTAAAGCTGGTTTGTTCTGTTTTTAAGCGTGGATTTCCTAACAGAAGATACGGGGTGGGGGGAAGGTAATACTTCCATGACACTTTAAGTAGTTTTTATTACAAAGACTTGAATGATAGGAAAAAACCCACCAACCTTGCAAATTCATCTATGTTTTCTTTTCCAAGTCCAACATTTATATCAAGCCCATTATTCCTTTACTGAGCATTTCAAGAATGTAAAAACACTTGCCCTAAATCAAAAACTCACCACAGCTTCCAGGGAAATGGAAAGAGGGCAGTTTTGAAATAGTTTTGAAAGCCCTCTCATGCAGCAACAAGAACTTTGCCTAACTGGAGGCAGACCTTCAAATTCTTGCATGTGTGTAGTGAGATTCATCAGCTTTAAGACAAAAAAGCAACCATGAACACAAAACACTGATACAAGTGATTACGGCATGACTTGTCTTTTGTTGTGAAACTATACAGAGAGACAACACCTAACCCAGCTTTTATATTTTATGTTGGGTTAGATACAATGCAGTTTCTTTATAAATCACAGGATTCTGGAGGTTTTTCAGGCAGTTTAGCAAGGCAACTATTTAGAGCATACAACATTAATCAAGCAAAATTGCAGGGACATGATATCTACATGCCAAATACTCCAAACATCTCTCATTTCTTGTTTTTCTAATTTGTTATCAAAGAACTGATTGAATTACTCAAATTACAGCAGTGTAAATGAGGAAAGCCAAATTCAGGAACTGAAGCCAATGTTGCTGGCTAAAACAAGCTGGCCCTTATGCTCTGTTTCATTTGACAAACAGGTTAGCAAGAATACTCTGCTCAGAATAAAAATCAGTTCACAGAGTCCATGTGTTCTATAAGAAAAAAAAAAAAAGGAAAAAAGAAAAATAAATTCATAAAAGAAAGTTCATGGAAACTAATTACATAAAGAGCTTTCAAAAACATCTCTCAATGTGCAAAATCAGTCTTTGTTGAACCACTAGTGTTCAGATTAACTTTTTGCAGTTTAAACAGCAATTAATTAATGAAAACTAGCAAGAAAAAAACCATTTTGGTTTGGGGTTGTTTTTTCCCCTGAATTGAAGCATACCCAATACAAAACCAGACAGACCAGCATAGGTCAGCAGTCAGGTTAGAAACTAGATGACCATAGGTTTGGAATATGTATTGAAGCACAACCATGGATTAGAGTCCATTTCAATTTCATGACGTAGATGCTGGAAGGAGGCAAGAAACAATTTCCATACTAACCTATGGTGCCATCATGTGTCATCACCATTTCATGTTAAAATTGCCAGCTAGTTTTTTTCCTTCTCATTAAATTTCTGAAATCCCAGGAACTTCCTGTTTTTTCCCTAATGTACCAGGTGTTTTCTTTGGGTTTCAGCAATTTAATTTTAAGATTTTTTTCCTACTAGTTCTTCTAACTGAAATTTAGCAATCAAAGACATTTTTGAAGGGCAAATAGCAACTGCTAAAAACACAGAAGTATGAAGGCTAAGAGTAACCTGGTGAAGTATGCATACCACTCTTATTTAAGAATTTAAAAGCAGTCAGCTTTCTACAAGACTTCTAAAGTCCCATAGCCTGCTGAACTCAACACATGATAGATTAAGAGCCTAAAGCTGAGACCAGTCTCTGTTCCAAGGTCATCAACCAAGAACGCAATTGTAAAATACCTTTTTCAAACTACCTCCTTTTTAAGAATAAACAGAAGTTCTGGTATCTTATGGATACTTTGGAAATTTTAAAGTCATATATAAATAAAGGTATGAGTAATTAATTAAAAATATAACTGTACTGCGGTGAGAATTCTGTTTTACAAAAACAGATGTGTATAAAAATGGAAATCAGATTACAATTGTTTTAAAAAGACATCCCTTATATATAACTTCTTTACCCAAAGCCCTGTTATTAACATTTCCTTGACTTTCTGATGACAGTAAGTGGCATTTAAAGGTCAGCAAGGAAGAGGCTGCAGATTGCCTGTGAGTGACTTGACTTCCTGTTCCCTGTTCACACTGGTCAATAAAAATTTTTCAAAATGTCAAGTTCTTTTCTTGTGAGGTTGCTACAGACAAGCCTTTCTTCCACAGCTCTTTGCCAAAACTCACATATTTGAGCTCCCAGTCTTGTTATGCAACTTCCTCCTCAGAAGTCTTTAAATCAGAAGTAATCAATTCAGCTGTTTTTAAGCACTCAAAGTACCAGATATATTAGCAAAAATTAAGGGGTTTATTTTTCCCAAACTAGAGACGAAAAAATAAAAGTATCATAAAGGATATATTTTTTTTTGCAAGTGAATACAAAAGAGTGAATACAAAGGTAAGATTTACAGCAGGCAAACAAATACATCTATTCAGTGACAGCAAGAATATTTATGCCTGTTAGATATTTAAACTCCATTAATGCCAACTTTTATTGATTAGCTGAATGATACCACAGCAGATTACAACTGGCCATATAAGGTTATGTCAGACCTACTGCAGAAATTGAACTTAGAGACTGCATTCCCTGATACGGTGCTGATATTACTTACACTAAATTTGCAATAAATTGACAACACAGAAACTGAATTAATCTAAGCTCCTGCTTCAAAACTAAAGCATTATACTGCAATCATGAGATTGCTGGGAGACACAGTTAAAAAACCCAACAAAACAAACCAAAAAATTGTGACTACTCAGATTTTCCTTTCTAACCAGAT